TCCAATGTCACATTTTAATCATCGTAATAGAAACCTCTATTCCTTTATGCAAAGTTTTGCATTCTTTAAATAGGAAACAGTTTTTAAGATCAAGTTTGACTAAAAAAACATTAATTCCCTTAATGCTGTCAGAATAAAGAAGTAAAGCTGTATCTGTTCATAACTAGAAACATTCTCTACTTAACCAACTAATGTGTCCTCATTTCCTTTTATTTTCTAATTCTTTATAAATTTGTATCTAATTTTGGTTTCATTTTGAGCTCTTATTGTGACAGTTGTCCTCAGAAAATCACAAATCTTATGAAATGATGGGAACAAAGTCTAACTTTTATTTATATTATATAATATAGTTTTTTTCTTTTTCGTTTTCTGCCTTTAAAACAGGGAAAATGGCTTTTTTAACCATTTATATAATCCAAGATTACCTAATCCTGCTAAGATTAAGGGCAGCATTGTTTACCTCTCTTTAAACAATCTTTTTGTAATATTGAAGAAGCTCACAGAGCAACAGAAAAAGTTAGATTAGAGAGACTGATCTGCTCAGCTCTCTCTCTCTCTCTCTCTCTCTCTCTCTCTCTCTCTCTCTCTCTCTCTCTCACACACACACACACACACACACACACACACACACACACACACACACACACACACACACACACACACACACCACATCCTGTCACATATATTGACAGATTAACATGTTTCTAGCGAGCAGGTTCTTAATGATTTTACTTATTCTGTGTCCTCATTAAAAATGGATTCTTTCAGTAAAAAACACGGGCAACTACTGGTGTGGAACTATGTGTGTTTTAAGTAGATCTTTTGAGTTTTAGTTTTCTGGATTCATGGAGGATTCTGAGCTGCAGCTTGTGGAAATGCAGAGTGTGATGCAGGGTAAAGGTCTGCAGAGAGGGCCAGGTTATGTGGGGTCACGGGCTGAAGACAAAGACAGGCTGATAGCGCATCTCCATCTGGTGGTCAGAGACCAAAGAACAAATCATGCTGCCTCATGTAGCAGTTTTCTCTGTGAAAAAATCCAAACAGTCAAAAAAAAATGCAGTGTTTCAATATTTATTTATTATGAATTTTATTGTATCTCAGAGAAGTTATTTTATGACCAAATAGTTTTGATCCAAATTATATTTATGCAATTAAAAAACCTCAAAAGTGGCCATTTAAGGAAAATGAATAAATCACCTTTATGTACACACAAACATTATTATTATTATTATTATTATTATTATTATTATTATTATTATTATTATTATTATTATTATTGTAATATTATTAATATTATTATTATTGTTGTTGTTGTTATTTCTAACTGTAAATGTCTGAAGCTGAAATATCAATTAGATAAAAATTAAACCCTAATTTCAAAGATCTAGTCTATCATCAGAAGCGTTGTGCTGTCTCATCATTGTTTTATTAGTTGTAGAAAACCAGAAGTTGGCTCCTGATTTGTTTGTCTTTAGAGTGGATTTGCATCCGTGTCTCTACAACACAACGTTTTCTGGTTACTTAGAACATCAAATCAGTGACAGTTAAACAACATGTGAACTTGTGAAATTTTAAATAAGAAGGGTGCTAAAATATTTATTATTCTACTTTTAAAGTCAAAGTTGGCTGCTCATTGCAGGAAAGAGCTGTGAGAGAAGCATCCAACATGAAGGAACCACAAAATAAAACATTCAGCAGGATAGCAAATCAAACCTAGAGTAAGCAAGAGCTGAGTTCATTTAAAGAATTAAACAAAAATGTTGCTAGGCATACACATTTAACATTTTCTAATACTTTTTAAAACATATCTTTCTGTACTCTGATTACACCAGTCTTCTCACTAATTTAGACAAATATTTCTAAGGGAAATATCAGAGGGATAGGCTCCACAGTCCCACAATAAAAGGTTGAGTTTGGCTCATTTATAACATTTATAATTGAGTTTTCTGAATGTTGTATTTAATTGTGAATGCCTTTAATTGGTTAGATGAATACCTGGTCCATCGTGTGGTTGGTTGCTGTTGTGATGGCTGTGATCTCATAAAGGCAGCTTTTCCATCCACCAATCCCTCACCAGCTGTTGGGATGAAAAGCCACCCACCCCCCACCTCCATTCCTCTCTCATGTGTGTGTGTGTGTGCGTGCACACACATGTACACGATGCTCACTTGTCATGCTGCCTGCTCTGTCATAGCAGGAATTTTCCACTCAGCAGCAGGAGAACATTGCAGCCAGCTGTACTGTCAATTTCAGAGTACGCTGGGATCTCAAGGATTGTCTGTAAACGCCCTCTTTCCTTCAGCCGGTTCCTCCCAACTTTTCCCCCTGACTTTTGTTTCTGCGTCACGAGTTAAAGCACATATGCAGCATACATGTTGTGCATGGCCTGGACTGTGTGCTGCAAAACACTCTGCAGAGAACTTTATGCACATGTCTTTGTCGTGTGGACGCCTGAGCAGAGAGGCACAGTGGCCTATTTCTACCCCTCTACAAACACTCTCCTCCTAAGGAATCCTTTGGATTTGTTCCAGTGGTAGAGCTCTGCTTTTCTCTCCAATTCCTCCAACTGGATAATTCTCACTGTCTCCCCCTCTCCACCGCTCCAAGACTGAATCAAGCAGGTCAAGCTGCTGACCACAAAACCAAACAACAAGCCAGAAGGGAAGAACTGTCAAGCTGTGGGAAACTGTAGAGTTGAGGCCTTTGTTTTAAAATGTATCCTTTTGGATCCACTGTGGCGCATGCATTGCATCCTACAACACTTACAAAGAATTCCCAAATATGTCTAAGTTAAAACTCTGTTAAGGGTTCACAGCATCTGCAGCCACATGCAGTCTGTTGTGTGATCGGTGCTGATTACAGTTTTACTCATTTGCTAAAACTCTAAAATCCACTGGCTGAAGAAAGTTCTCAGTTGCTTGAACTCATGAAGCTTACTGTTGAGCCTGTTGTCAAAACCCTAAACCATTTCACACGGTTTAGCAAAACTCTAAACACATTCTCATTCTTAAAACACATTCTGCACTCTAATGTACATGCCGTCCATAACGGTAAACACAAGTGGCACACATTTATCCATAACAAGAGCACAAATGTCATTGATTGAACACAATCAGTCAAAAATAAATTTCACTTGTTTCAAATGATGTGACAACCAATATGAGCAAGTTCAGAGAGCAAACAGGTTGTTGAAGGTGGGAATGAGAAAGTGTGACAGCGGATAGAAGAACTCATGTGAGAGGATGCGTATGTGAGGTGGGGGATGTGGAGGAGGGCAAGAAAGAGAAAGAGGAGGACAAAGAGGAAGAACAAGACAAAGAGTGGAAATAGCCAATGAAATTCGAGCAACAATCATGGACCATGTTGTTGTCCATGTGCTGACGATGAGGGAAGCAGGACTTGGAGTGCAACCCAATTTGAGCCTCAGGAGGGAAAATGTTGCATGTGATGTCGATGAAATGCTGTGGCCTGACCCAGCCCACAGACAAGAAGAATCCCATTGATAACATGTTTAGTCCTTTGATATTTTTCATTTCACGTATTTTTTTCCCTGTCATTGTACACTGTAGCAAAAATGGACAATAAACAAATTGTATGGCCCTGAACATTATGCTTTCTATTTTTTGGTGTATTGTTTACTGACTGCTTGATGTTGTATGTAATTTTGAGTAATTTGTTTATGATTTTAGAGTGGTGTTTGATTTTGAGCACAGCCAAAACTGTTTTGAGGCGAAAGTTTGATTTTGCAAGAGGAATGAGAGGTTTTGTAAATCGTGCTTGATGCTGAGGTTTAATGTTTTGAGAAAAGGGAGCAAGGTTTCAGGAATTGTGCTTTAGCAATTGTGAAAAGCTGTATTAGCTGGATGAGCTGAATTAGATATGTTCTAGTCGTTTTGTATTTGCTAATATTGATTAGCTAGCAGCCACCTGGAATAGGGTTGACCAAAAGTTGATCAGTTGTAGACCTAAATCTGACTTTAGATTTATGAAAGTTTCAATAGAATCAACAATGTGGATGATTTATTTGCTTGCAGAGAAGTGACCACAACAAACAGAATCACAGATCTATGCAGGGTAACACTGGATTGTGTAATTCATATGGTTATATAAGGACTTGTCTGCAGAGAAACCATGTACGGACCCCCGTGCTATCTGTATACGTTAGAAGCTGATTATGTAAGCGTGAGCCAAGCCACTCCTCGTTCCCGATGCCCGTACATTCCCCGCTGCCTCTAAAATCAGGTCAAATGAGGACTGCTGACTGTGAGATCTGCCCTGCACACGCCCCCTCCTCACATGTACTTAACCATGGAGGCTCAAACAGCACACACCAAGCACGCATGCACACACACACACACACACACACACACACACACACACACACACACACACACACACACACACACACACACACACACACACACACACACACACACACACACACACACACACACAGAGCCTCGAGGTGAGTAACATTTTCCAGAAACATGTCTGTGAGAATATACACATACAAATGTGTGTCATGTCATCAGACTAAGACAATAAAAAGTCGATATTGATCTTACAAGAAGTCTTAAAGTTGCATGCTCCTTCATTCTTTGTGATATATTTCCCCTTTTTTTCTTTAAAGTATATATATATATATATATATATAATTTAATTTAATTTTTTATTACATTACTTTCACATTATTAATTCCACACACTTTTCACATTTCAAGGGTTCAGTTTTGCTCAACTATTTAAAGTTTATTTATTGAGAGAATGGGTAAATGTTTCTCACTGAAAAATGAATGATCCCAGGCCGACATTTTTAAATACTCCAATGTAAACTTCTAAAAAATAAACGAAATGATGTTTAAATATGTATTTGTAATGTTACTTAAGCTCTGTTTAATGTCAGTAAATCAACAGTTTATATAACTGAATACACATTTTGTCGTTTTAGACATATGGCGCCACTGTGTGGCCAGTAGGAGAAACGCGCCAACTCTTCTACGTATTTCCGTTACAGGCGGAAACGGAAGTTGCCCACAACTAATATGTCTGCTGTAACCTCCGTTTACTGAACAAAAATAAAACTCGTGGAGAATGGCAGACGGTGGAGTCGACGAGCTATCTCAGCTGGAATATTTGTCTTTGGTCTCGAAGGTTTGCACGGAGCTTGACAACCATTTGGGAATAAATGACAAAGATTTAGGTGAGTATTTATTTCAAACCTCGAAGTTGTCAACAGGGCTAGCATTTGTTAGCTATGCACCCTGACGGTAATGTCAGACTTTCCTCGGGATAAAGTGTTTTTAATGAAATACGGGTTCAAATGTACAGATAACGTAGCTTTCCGATTTGAAGTGGCGTATTCTTTGTCGTGTGTTAGTTTTCACCTCTTCTACTCAACACCAAATGCTGTTAGCTGAGTAAGGCTAATGTCGTGTCTCCTGTTTGTTTCTGCGCTTCGTAGCTGAATTCGTCATCAGTCTCGCTGAAAAACAACAGAGCTTCGATGGTTTTAAAGCTCTTTTGCTTGAAAATGGAGCCGAATTCACAGTAAGTCAAGTTAATCGGCTTTTCAATTAACCAGTCGTTAAATAACTAATCCCGCATCTCTGATTTATTTCATGTTTTGTGCTTACTTCAGGATTCTCTCATCAGTAACTTACTCAGACTCATTCAGACGATGCGACCTCCTTCCAAGGCATCAAGTAAAGGTGCTGTTTCTTAGCTGTTTGTTTTCATTCAAGTGTTAATCGCGTTTATTCACGTTGACTCACCTAATTAAACATTTTACTTTTAGCCTCTGATGCATCTGTCCAGCCAAAAACAGAAAAAGAAAAACTAAAGGAGCTGTTTCCTGCGTTGTGCAGACCAAACGATCCATCACCAAAGGTATATAAACTATGTTAGTCATAAATGTTGTATCATCTTCATTTTCCCCTGTTAAACTACGTGCAGCACAACTCAGTGCAACAAATTCTCCTTTAAACATTCTAGCGGCTACTAGATGAAGATGATGTGAAAGTAGCAGCTGATGCAATGAAGGAGCTGGAGATGTTTATGCCCAGTGTTAGTGGGGCAGACCCCAAAGTCACCAAGATCAAGTAAGACAACTTTACTTTTTAGTTATAAATTTATTGTTATTGTAACATTTGTAAAAGGAACATTTGCTTGACCTAAACTGCTTTCCACTTTGTCATTTCTTCTTATTTTCGTAGATCAGAAAAAAGTAAGCATCACAGTCGAAGTCGCAGTAGAAGCCGAGAAAGAGACAGACACAGAGAGCGAGACAGGGACAGGGAGCGGGACAGGAAGAGACGGCACCGGTCACGTTCCAGATCCAGATCTCGTTCCTGGGACCGTGATCGGCACAGGGATCGGGACCGGGATCGAGGCAAAAGAAGAGAGAAATCTTCTCGCTGGGCTGATCGTACCCCCAGCCCCAGAAAAGACCAAGAAAGAGATGCTGACAGGTGGAAGGACAAACATGTGGACCGACCTCCTCCAGAGGAGCCCTCTGTGGGTGACATCTACAATGGGAAAGTCACCAGCATCATGCAGTTTGGATGCTTTGTTCAGCTGGAGGGGCTGAGGTCGGTGTGATGTCATCAGCCTGACATTTAAATGTCTCAAACTATTTGTAGGGTCACCCACTGGCTACTAAAAATGTGTTTTCATTCCTAAACATGCTTTTACCTCAAAACAGCAGCAGTGTGCTTCATAAATACAAAGTACTTACATTTGTGTTTGTTTTGTGATTTGTTTATGTTTAGAAAACGTTGGGAGGGTTTGGTGCACATTTCTGAGCTGCGCAGAGAGGGTCGTGTGGCTAACGTGGCCGATGTTGTTAGTAAGGGCCAAAGAGTCAAAGTGAAGGTTCTGTCTTTCACCGGCTCCAAGACCAGCCTCAGTATGAAGGTAAGGAAACAGGAGGTTTCTCAGTCTTCTTGTCACAATCGAGTCACAACCAGTTGTAATTGTCTCTTTTTATCCATTTGGTCTCCAACTCTTCCTGAGGTTTTGCATTTTTTGTATTTTCTGCCTCACGGAAACTAAATATAAGAACTTGCAAGAGTATTGAGACCGTCCATGAATGTTTAAATAATTTCGGGTTGCAAACAGTCCAGTCTTCAGGGCGAGTCAGACCATAAATGACCTGCTTCTTTTCTCACAGGATGTGGACCAGGAGACCGGAGAAGACCTGAACCCCAACAGGAGGAGGAACGTGGGCCCTGAAGGAGGAGAAGATGTCTCCATGAGGAACCCAGACAGACCCAACAACTTGAACCTGGGCCACGCTCCTGAGCTGGAGCAGGACGACACGCTGGAGCGCAAGAGGCTCACCAAGATCTCTGACCCGGAGAAGTGGGAGATCAAACAGGTCTTCAGCAGCTTATTGATCCTTGTGGCTGGGCTGCCAAGGGCTGAATAAAATCTAAAATTAAATTAGGGAACTCTATTTACTCATTCAAGAAACACTTTGAGTTTATTAGAAACGATTAAGTAATCAGAGCATTCTGCTGTTTGTCTGAACTCAGATGATCGCTGCCAACGTGTTGTCCAAAGAAGAATTTCCAGATTTTGATGATGAGACGGGAATTCTTCCTAAAGTTGATGATGAAGAAGGTAAGAGTAATTATTTATGTAAAATAAATAATTTTAAAACACTATGTTAATAATGGGCATGCAATTCATTTTTATTCTTTTGTGTGTGTGTGTGTGTGTGTGTGTGTGTGTGTGTGTGTGTGTGTGTGTGTGTGTGTGTGTGTGTGTGCGTGTGTTGTTTGAGAAGTGTTAAGATCATGAAAATCAATCATGACTTTTATAATGCATTGTAAAGCAGTGACTAAATGATCCCATAAACAGATCAAATGAAACAAAACGACAGGTGATCTGTTGCTTTTTTGACAGGATATTAACGTCTGAATAAACCTCGTGTGGATTCTGCTCCGTTTCCGTTCTCTTCTCTAACAGATGAGGATCTGGAGATTGAGCTGGTTGAGGAGGAACCTCCGTTCCTGAGAGGACACACCAAACAAAGCATGGACATGAGCCCCGTCAAGATCGTTAAGGTATTGAAGCGTGATATTTTCCTGGCTAAATCCATTTGAATCAGACTGTGTAGAGCTGAAGAGAAATTACCAGTGTTACTGGGGTTTATGCAGTGCCTCCCAGAGTTTTCACAAGTGCAGATAAACCTTAAAATCTTGTTTTTAGACTATCGTTGTCGTCTTCCTCCGCTTATCCGGGTCTGGGTCGCAGGGGCAGCATCCCAACTAGGGAGCTCCAGACCGTCCTCTCCCCGGCCTTGTCCACCAGCTCCTCCGGCAGGACCCCAAGGCGTTCCCGGACCAGATTGGAGATGTAACCTCTCCAACGTGTCCTGGGTCGACCCGGGGGCCTCCTGCCGGCAGGACATGCCCGAAACACCTCCCCAGGGAGGCGTCCAGGAGGCATCCTGACCAGATGCCCAAACCACCTCAACTGACTCCTTTCGATCTGGAGGAGCAGCGGTTCTACTCCGAGTCCCTCTCGAATGTCCGAGCTCCTCACCCTATCTCTAAGGCTGAGCCCGGCCACCCTACGGAGGAAACGCATTTTGGCTGCTTGTATCCGCGATCTCGTTCTTTCGGTCATTACCCAAAGCTCATGACCATAGGTGAGGATTGGGACGTAGATCGACCGGTAAATCGAGAGCCTGGCTTTCTGGCTCAGCTCCCTCTTCACCACAACAGATCGGCTCAGCGTCCGCATCACTGCAGACGCTGAACCAATCCACCTGTCGATCTCCCGATCCCTCCTACCCTCACTCGTGAACAAGACCCAGAGATACTTCAACTCCTCCACTTGAGGTAGGACCTCTCCCCCGACCCAGCGTTGGCAAGCCACCCTTTTCCGGTCGAGAACCATGGTCTCAGATTTGGAGGTGCTGATCCTCATCCCAGACGCTTCACACTCGGCCGCGAACCTACCCAGCAAGAGCTTAAGGTCAGAGATGGATGAAGCTAGGAGGACCACATCATCCACAAAAAGCAAAGACGAGATTCTCCTGCCACCAAACTCGACACACTCCACACCACGGCTGCACCTAGAAATTCTGTCCATAAAGGTAATGAACAGAACCGGTGACAAAGGGCAGCCCTGGTGGAGTCCAACCCTCACGGGGAACAGGTCCGACTTACTACCAGCTATGCGGACCAAACTCACACTCCTCTGGTAAAGGGACTGAATGGCGCTTAACAGAAAGCCACCCACCCCATACTCCTGGAGCGTCTCCCACAGGGTGCCACTGGGGACACGGTCATAAGCCTTCTCCAAATCCACAAAACACGTGTGGATTGGTTGGGCAAACCCCCATGCCCCCCTCCATCACCCTTGCAAGGGTATAGAGCTGGTCCACAGTTCCATGGCCAGGACGAAAACCACATTGCTCCTCCTCTATCTGAGATTCAACTATCGATCAGACCCTCCTCTCCAGTACCTTGGAGTAGACCTTTCCAGGGAGGCTGAGGAGTGTGATCCCCCTATAGTTGGAACACACCCTCAGGTCACCCTTCTTAAAGATGGGGACCACCACCCCGGTCTGCCACTCTACAGGAACTGCCCCCGATGACCACGCGATGTTGCAGAGACGTGTCAACCATGACAGCCCTACCGCATCCATAGCCTTGAGATACCCAGGACGAACCTCATCCGCCCCCGGGGCTCCGTCGCTGTGTAGTTGTTTCACTACCTCAGCAACTTCTTCCCCAGAGATTGGACAGTCCATCCCCAGGTCTCCTGGCTCTGGTTCCTCCTCGGAATGCACGTAGGTGGGATTGAGGAGCTCCTCAAAGTATTCCTTCCACCGTCCGACAATATCCCCAGTTGACGTTAGCAGCTCCCCACCCCCACTGTAAACAGTGTGAGCGAGTTGCTGCCTTCCTCTCCTGAGGCGCCGGACAGTTTGCCAGAACCTTTTTGGAGCCGATCGATAGTCTTTCTCCATGGCCTCACCAAACTCCTCCCACGCCCGAGATTTTGCCTTGGCAACTGCCACTGCTGCACCCCGCTTGGCTATCCGGTTCTCGTCTGCTGCCTCCGGAGACCCACAGACCAGCCACGCCCTGTAGGCCTCCTTCTTCAGCCTGATGGCTCCCCGAACCTCTGGTGTCCACCAGCGGGATTGCCACCACGACTGGCACCGGCCACCTTGCGACCACAGCTAGCAACAGCTGCCTCAACAATCGCAGAGTGGAACAAGGCCCACTCGGAGTCAATGTCCCCCACTGCTCTCGGGACGCGGTCAAAGCTCTGCCGGAGGTGGGAGTTGAAGACCGTCTTGACAGGTTCTTCTGCCAGGCGTTCCCAGCAGACCCTCACTGTGTGTTTGGGTCTGCCAGGTCTACGCGGCATCTTCCCCTGCCATCCGATCCAACTCACCACCAGGTGGTGATCAGTTGACAGCTCCGCTCCTCTCTTCACTCGGGTGTCCAAAACATATGGCCGCAGGTCAGATGATACGACTACAAAGTCTAGCATCGACCTGCGACCTAGGCTGCTCTGGTACCAAGTGTACCGATGGGCTTCCTTATGTTCGAACATAGTGTTCGTTATGGCCAAACTGCGGCTTGCACAGAAGTCCAATAACGAAACACCACTCGAATTCAGATCAGGCGGGCCGTTCCTCCCAATCACACCCCTCCAGGTCAAGCTGTCATTGCCCACGTGAGCACTGAAATCCCCCAGCAGGACAATGGAGTCCCCTGATGGAGCGCTATCTAGCACTCATCCCAGGGACTCCAAAAAGGGTGGGTACTCTGAACTGATATTTGGCCCATAAGCACAAACAACAGTCAGGACCCGTTCCCCGACCCGAAGGCGCAGGGAAGCTACCCTCTCGTCCCCCGGGGTAAACCCCAACACACAGACAGAGAGTCTTGGGCTAGCAAAAAGCCAACCCCAGCCCTCCGCCTCTCACCCGGAGCAACTCCAGCAAAGGAGAGTGTCCAACCCCTCTCAAGGACTTAGGTTCCAGAGCCAATGCTATGTATCGAGGTGAGTCAGACTTAGGGTTGTCACGGTATGAAAATTTAACCTCACGGTTATTGTGACCAAAATTATCACGGTTTTCGGTATTATCGCGGTATTTTTTAAACGGTGTTGCATATGTTCAGAAAGCATTGATAGTCCTGTTCTTCACAAACTGAAATAGTTTTGAAAAGGTTTAACAGTGTTTATTAAACCTAAAATAACACAAAGCCTTAGCAAAAGTGCAACTTTTCACAAGTAAAGGAACAAATAGCTTATTTTTCTGGAACGTGTTACAGTAGTCAGTGCAGGTTTAAATTATACAAATCCAAACATTCAAAACATAAACAATATGTAAACAAATCAAAGAAACACCACTTGTTTTCTCATATACTTGTTTTCTTCATTATCAAAATGAAAATCTAAAACTCCAGTCCACACTTGACTTGAGCACTGTACAAGTCAACCTTAAAAAAATATGTGTATTTAAAATAAATAGCCACTTTAAACAAATTACTAAAATAACTACTACACTATGTAATCAAATCCAAATGTTCAAGTATAAATGGCATTGAATAAGTAAACAAATCAATGACAAGGAACTAATTGTATATTTCTCTTCATCATCAACAAATAAGATGCTTCATCCAGCAACAGGGTGTCCGTGACACGGTTTAAATGCTGGCAGAGGACGCTGCGGCTGCAGTATATAGTGACTCGTTGCATTCTCCTTCAACCAAAAGTCCTCACGTCATGCAATTAAGCTAAAATGCTAATGTTAACTTACCTTGCACCGGCTGTAGAGACGTGGGTGATGGTCACTCAGATGTGCCATTAGATTCGAAGTGTTGCTGCCTTTTGCAGACACTTGTTTCCTGCACGTTCTGCAAACGGGATAGCAGTCTTCTATTAACTGTCCCTCAGCGTTTTTCAGAAATCCAAAATATGCCCATACTTCCGATTGAGTCTTCTTTGAGGGCTGATGGATGTCCTGGGTGCTGCCGTCTCCTCCTTCGGCCATTATTTCAGCTTCAAAGTTTTGGTGCCGTTGCAAACTAAAAAGTGCGTGTGCGCGCCGCGGGAACTTCAGCTGAAGCGACGGTGGCTGGTAAGGGTCACCGCGCCGAAACCGCGGCCACGGTAAACCCACCGAGATAATTTAGTTTTTTAAAAACTGGACGGTTATTTTTATTGTCAACTTTTTACCGGGGTTTACCGCTATACCGGTTACCGTGACAACCCTAGTCAGACTATATCTAGCCGGTACCGCTCAACTTCTGCCACAAGCTCCTGCTCCTTCCCCGCCAGCGAGGTGACGTTCCATGTCCCAAAAACCAGTTTTCTTGTCCGGGGATCGGACCGCCAATGCTCCCGCCTTGGTCTGCCACCCGATCCACACTGCTCCCTAGGCCTGGCTCCAGGGTGGGACCCCAGTAACCCTCCAGGCCAGGTACTCCGACTGTTTGAATTTACCTCCATGAAAGATCCTGTGAACCGTTCTTTCTCTCACCCTTCACCTAAGACCAATTTGTCATGGGAGACCTACCAGGGGCACAAAGTGCCCCAGACAACATAGCTCCTAGGATCATTAGGGCACTCAAACTCCTCCACCACGATGAGGTGACGGTTCAAGGAGAGTTTTTAGACTTTAAATATTTTTAAAAGATGAAATCTTAACAAATCAAAAGAAATGGCTCAAATAATCAGAATTCTTTGTTTTATTAACAATGTTGAATGTTTGGTTCCTTTTGACGAACTGAGAAGTATGGCTGGACGATTAAAAGCATAATGATTAAAAAAATGCATATGATCGATAATTGAAAAATATAAATAAAAAACTAGAAAATACATTTCATATGCGGCTCCTGCCATTTTACGCTATTCCTTATTTAACTACTTTCAATAGAAAACAGACAAACTGATTTCTGCGTCTTTCGGTGCGTCTTATTTGGACGTTTATTAATTAAAATTTGGGCGCGTTATTACTGTAATGTATTACCGTATAAAAAAATTGAGCCTAAATCTCATATGGCCCAGCCTGGATTCAAACTCGGTTGCTTTGCCTCTAAGTCAGGTATTTTACCAGTTGAGCTATCCATTTTATATTTAAACATCGATAATACTCCTCAGAGCCCGACGGGGTGGTGTTTGTGCTCCGCCCAGTGGATTTGTGACGTCACAAACCCAGTCAGTTTTAGGCTGCATTTTTTTCATCTGCTGTTGATTCTCAGCGTTTTGAATGCAGAAGTGCTATTTTGAGCTTAAATTTCATTAGAGGTGTCCTGTAGCATAAGAAAAAGGCCTCAGTAATATGTTAAAAACAGAAAAAACACCATTTTAATTAGTGGGTCTTTAAATGATTCATGTCTACCTATATTTTTATATTTTTCCTCTTAAACCTGCAGAAATATTTACTGAAAGTAAACTTATCCAAAATGCCTGAAAACTGAAATGTGAAGGTTTGATTCTTCAATATTGAAATGTAAAATATGTAGGAGAAAAATCCCCCCCAAGTATAACATTTAAGTATTTGAGACTAATAAAATGTCAGCAAATATTTGACCTGAGCTTGAAATCCTCAATAAATCCGATTTTGTTTGGATTTGAAGCTCATTCAGCAGTTTGTCGGTTCTGTCCAGAATCCAGACGGATCGCTGTCCCAGGCGGCCATGATGCAGAGTGCTCTGGCTAAAGAGAGACGGGAGCTGAAGCAGGCGGCTCGGGAGGCTGAGATGGACTCCATCCCCATGGGCCTGAACAAACACTGGGTCGACCCGCTCCCAGATGGTTAGAAACCTTTACGTTGTACTTTACGCTACGTGTGTTTTAAACTGAATTTAAACTTCTAAAATATGTTGTCTTGCTTTTGTTTCTTAAGCTTCACTAATCAGATTCAGTGTGCGGTTGTGTGATAATCTGTGTTTTATTAGAAGCACAGGCGGGTCTGAGTCAGACTTGAGACTTCCTCCACGCTGGCAGAAATAGACCCTCAGGCCTGCCGGTACTGGTGATGCTTATCTGAGTTCCATGTGTCCGGATGTTGAAGCTCGCTTGTTCAGTCCATCCTTAATGGTGGTCTAGGCTGTTTCCAGGGTTTGACATCATGATGTTATTGGTGTCTGTTAGAATAAACGCTTCAGATTTTATTTAGGACGGATCTTTAAGCGCGCTCCTCTTCTCCAGTTGACGGGCGGCAGATTGCTGCCAACATGAGAGGAATCGGCATGATGCCCAATGACATTCCAGAGTGGAAAAAGCACGCCTTTGGAGGGAACAAGGCCTCTTATGGGAAGAAGACCCAGCTCTCCATCCTGGAGCAGAGAGAGAGTCTGCCCATCTACAAGCTGAAGGAGCAGCTCATTCAGGTTTTAAGCATTAACAATATTCCTGAGTGTGATTATGTTTTAGTAAGCACCTCCGATGTTGTAAGTTTCTCTTTGTGTTACTATTTCCCAGGCTGTTCATGACAACCAGATTTTGATTGTCATTGGAGAGACGGGTTCTGGTAAGACCACACAGATCACACAGTACCTGGCAGAGGCGGGGTACACCACCAGAGGGAAGATCGGCTGCACGCAGCCTCGTCGTGTGGCTGCCATGTCTGTGGCTAAGAGGGTCTCTGAGGAGTACGGATGCTGTTTGGGTCAAGAGGTGAGCCACTGCAGTCCAGATTTTCTTGCTGATGAGAAGCTTTTTAAAGAAATGATTCTGAATGTATCCACAGTGTTTCTGTTGCTCAGCAGAGCGCCGTTACCTGTCATATCTGATTAACCGTGTGTTTCAGGTGGGCTACACCATCCGTTTTGAGGACTGCACCAGCCCTGAGACGGTCATTAAGTACATGACAGACGGTATGCTTCTGAGAGAGTGCTTGATTGACTCTGAATTGGGTCAGTACGCCATCATCATGTTGGACGAGGCCCACGAGAGGACGATCCACACTGATGTTCTTTTTGGTCTCCTCAAGAAGGTAAGAAACCTGCAGAAAAGAACTTTGGCTTTTCACGTTGGTCAGCGTGGCTTTAAGGAAATGTTCTGTGTGTTTCTGTGTGCTTTAGACGGTGCAGAAGCGCACAGACATGAAGCTGATTGTAACTTCTGCTACACTGGATGCGGTAAAGTTCTCTCAGTATTTCTACGAAGCCCCCATCTTCACAATCCCAGGCAGAACATATCCGGTGGAGGTTCTGTACACCAAAGAACCTGAGACGGACTACCTGGATGCCAGCCTCATCACGGTCATGCAGATCCACCTGACTGAGCCTCCAGGTCAAAAGTAAACCCTGGTCTTTTTAACATAGGTGAACATCAACATTTTGCTCATAACGTCTTCTTGCGCAGGTGACATCCTGGTCTTTCTGACTGGGCAGGAAGAGATCGATACAGCCTGTGAGATCCTGTATGAGAGAATGAAGTCTCTTGGGCCTGATGTCCCTGAACTCATCATTCTGCCAGTTTATTCTGCTCTGCCCAGTGAGATGCAGACCAGAATCTTTGACCCTGCGCCCCCAGGCAGCAGAAAGGTGAGTTGGAACAAATCGGTGCATCATGTCTTATCTGAATATGACTTCTGTTGACTGTTTGGTCTCTTAAGTTAGTTTAGATGTTGTCATGACTCATTCATTAGGTTTTGTGTGTTGAAGAAGGGTGATATAGTTTTTGCTGTCTCTTCAGCAGCAGAGTGTTTCATGAACCACTTGGAAGATTTAAATGAAACTCAGAATAAATGAATAAAACCATGCAACTGATCAACTTTAATCCAAATTATGTTGGCTTCCACAAATACAGCAGTGATTATAAATGACCATCAATTTTACACATACTGAGCCAGAATGTGTTGCCATAGTTACTGAGTCGTTCGACCCCATCCCGTGAGTGCTCACTGATCCTGTAACATTACATAACGTATAATTTTCTAAATAACATCGCTTTTCAACATAATTTCTGTTTCCGTTCAGATTCTGGGTTAAGTTGCATATTTAAGGAGCGTTGTGTGTTCCTTTGAGCGGTTTATGGATCTTGGTTTTAGAACCAGTGTTAAAAATAAAAACTTATTTTTTTCCCCTCAGGTTGTCATAGCTACCAACATCGCAGAGACATCTTTAACTATTGATGGGATCTATTATGTGGTGGACCCGGGTTTCGTCAAGCAGAAAGTGTACAACTCTAAGACCGGAATCGACCAGCTGGTGGTGACTCCCATCTCACAGGTACGGGGTTAGTGGGTTCAGTGAATGAATGAATGAATGATTGCATGCATCATTTTCTTGTTTTGTGATTTCAGGCTCAGGCCAAGCAGAGGGCAGGTCGTGCCGGCCGAACCGGTCCTGGGAAGTGTTACAGGCTTTACACAGAGCGAGCCTACAGAGATGAGATGTTAACGACCAACGTTCCTGAGATCCAGAGGACTAACTTAGCCAGCACCGTGCTGTCTCTGAAGGTACAGATGTGTTGCGTGGTATTTATGTTCTCATCGTTCAGATCTTTCTGAGTCTGCCGTTTGTCTCCCGTCCGTCAGGCCATGGGCATCAATGACCTCCTGTCCTTTGACTTTATGGACGCTCCTCCTATGGAGACACTGATCACAGCCATGGAGCAGCTTTACACTCTGGGAGCTCTGGACAATGAGGGTTTACTCACACGACTGGGGAGAAGGGTGAGGAGGCTTTCAATGACGAAACCATCTGAAGATCACTTTAATTCACTGTGACAAAAACAAAATGTCTTCCTCCTAGATGGCCGAGTTCCCTCTGGAGCCAATGCTGTGTAAGATGCTGATCATGTCTGTCCATCTGGGCTGCAGTGAAGAGATGCTCACCATTGTGTCCATGTTGTCTGTGCAAAACGTCTTCTACAGGCCAAAGGTATGCCCGCCACAGTGCAGGACACTCAGAGCTTTTCTAGTGACTTACCGATCATCATAAAACCACAAACACACCAGCACCTGTGGTCCTTTTCACTTTAGGTCAGCTTCTGCTCAATTGTACACGTAGTTGGATAACAAACATCACGATTTTTAGTTTGAAGGAATGATCTAGACCTGTTTGGAAAATGGGTTCCTTGTGTGTGTTTGCTCAAAGAAAGAAACAAAAACAAACCTATAAAAACTGCTATTTTGAAATACATCAGCTGGTGGATATTCCGACCCTGTTTTCAGTAAAACATTTCTGTTTGTCAGGACAAGCAAGCCCTGGCTGACCAGAAGAAAGCCAAGTTTCACCAACCTGAAGGTGACCACCTCACGCTGCTTGCTGTCTACAACTCCTGGAAGAACAACAAGTTTTCCAACCCCTGGTGTTATGAGAACTTCATCCAGGCCCGCTCTCTACGCAGAGCTCAGGACATCCGCAAACAGATGCTGGGCATCATGGACAGGTAAACTTTACTTGCACCATCCAGTTAAACCATTACATGACATCATAGAGAATATTTCATGTTATGAACACGTCATTTGCTCCTTTTCCTTCAGACATAAACTAGATGTAGTGTCTTGTGGGAAAGCCACAGTTCGAGTCCAGAAGGCCATCTGCAGTGGTTTCTTCAGAAATGCAGCTAAGAAGGATCCTCAAGAGGGCTACAGAACCCTCATAGACCAGCAAGTGGTCTACATCCACCCCTCAAGTGCTCTGTTCAACCGGCAGCCTGAATGGTGCGACCATGTCTCACTTCTACTACTATTTTCATTTTCTTCTGAAATTAGTTTTTCCACGTGTGCAGCCATTTTCTGGGCTTTGACAAAAACCCATGGACATATTTTTTTACTGAAAATGTTTGTTTGTTTGTTTGTTTTATTGTGTATTTTAATGGGGACAGACACGAAAGAAAAACAAACATTATAGAGATAATCTAATGCCTGTATCACAGTGTTTATAGCCGCGGCTAATTCACACCACCTGTCCCTAGAAGGGCTTTTACTTTCTTACTAATATGATATTTATATACATTTATAATACGATATCTAGTCTTGACTTGTTTCAGACTCATCCTGTTATCTGGCTGCTTTAAGGCCAGAAGTGGTTTGATGCAACTTGATGACACTAGTCTACAACCGTTTCAGTGGCCTGGTGGTAGAGCTTCCATCCTGGGACTGGGAGGGTTAAACCACCAAATAGTTCCTGAGTGCAGCCACCGCTCTCAGTGGGGATGGGTCAGATGCAGAGACGTAATTCCACCAGTGTGTGATGACTAATGGGACTTTAACTTGACAACGGGAGTAGGCAATCCTGGTACTCGAGTGCTCCTATCCAGCATGTTTTAGTTGTTTCCCTGCTCCAACACACCTGATTCAATAGTTGAATAACCTGGTTATCAAGTTCTGCTGAATCCTGTTAACTCATTCACTGCCATTGACGACTAAAGTCGTCATTTGCATTTTTTTACCGTTTGAGCATCGGAACGAGCCCCCGCGCTGAGAGAACAAACATCTCAGCCCTGAAGCCGATCTTCAGCCGCATACGTCACAGATCACATGATCAGGAAGCAACACATCCATGTGTTTGGAGATCGTTTTGGGCCGTTCCTGTAAAAAAAGTGAGGCGCGAACCGGAAAAGCGTCTGCCGATCACAATTCGACAACGGATTAGGAAAGAACGGATAACGCTCGAAACACGCGGCTTCTTCCTGATGTAAGAAGTGAGTCTCCGCTTTTTGGTTGTTTTGGCATCGACATCATGCTAGCGCGCAACGTTCTGTGATTCTTAAAAAAACAGTAAAAACGGTGAGAAACGCTGGCAGCGAAGGCCGTTAGTGATCAGGAAACGGCTGGCAGTGAATGAGTTAATCACCCTCTGGTTAAAATCAGGTGTGTTGAAGCAGAGAAACAACTAAAACATGCTGGTCAACAGCACTTAAGGCCCAGGGTCACCTACCCCTGGTCTAGGGATTAATAACCTCCTTGTGTGAGTTGTTGCTGGGCCTAACTGTGTGTTCAGTATGACATAGCGTGAAATTTTCCTTAACAAAGAATGAATACATTTTGCATCCTGAATATTGCAAAAACAATATTTGTAGATTTAACATTTCTTTTCCAGCAAATACAAAACAACTAGAAGGTGGGAGAAGATATCTAATGTGTTTCCTTTGTTTTCCAGGGTTGTGTACCATGAGCTGGTGCTGACTACCAAAGAGTACATGCGTGAGGTCACCACCATCGATCCTCGCTGGCTGGTGGAGTTCGCCCCTGCCTTCTTTAAAGTGTCTGACCCCACGCGCCTCAGCAAGCAGAAGAAACAGCAGCGCCTGGAACCGCTGTACAACCGCTACGAGGAGCCCAATGCCTGGAGGATCTCCCGCGCCTTCAGACGTCGCTGATGCAAGTGCTGCTGCAGATCTACCACGCAGATCTGGACGGTGTGGTGGGTGTGGTGCCAGCTCTAGGTCAGGGATTCAAGAAGTGGCTCCCTTTTTAAAAAAATTGTTAACATTGTATATTTCCATAGAATCGGTCGCAGACTTCCTGTGAGATTGGTAATTAAGATTTTACATCATTATTAACAGCCTGCCACGTCTGTCCAATGAGAGCAAATTTATGGACCTTCATGAGGAGATGCTACCAAACCATGGACTATTTATGTCAGCTCTACGTTCAATTTAATTGGCTTTTGTATTTTAGTTCTTTGGTGTCAGACACAAAAGATGTGTAACACAATATTTTGTAAGATAACTGATAACTGTGATACGCCATTGTAGCAGAACTCCTGGAACTTTGCCTCATTAAATCCAGAATTTTCTAAATCTGATATGATGTAAGTTTGTAACCTCAAATGAAGATGTTAGGTTCTAGTCGGGCACACACGTGCGCTAGCATACACGCAGAAAAAACAGGTAGTTATTTTTTCCACAGCCAAGAGTTTCCTCTTTAGCTAACTAACATTTTCACAATGGGTCACCAACCTTTGTGAAGCCATTATTGAGCCGTATGAAGGGCTACCAGGTTGATGCACCAAGTTTAGTCATGTACACACTGCTGACCTTTGACCCAGAGTAGGTTTGAGTTTTAACTAAACTTCATGAATGACAGACACTAACCCACTGCCGATCTGTCTCCATCTAGTCCAGTCTTCTGCATCCTCTGCTCTCACACCAACTTACTTCATGTCCTCTTTCCCCTTATGGTCTGCTCCTCTCAGCCTCCTGCCTGGTGGCTCTATCCTCATCATCCTTCCTATAACTGTTGTCTCTCCTCTGGACATGTCCAAACCATCTCACTCCGTCTTTATCTAATTCATCTAACATGAGCTGTCCATCTGATGTCCTCATTCCTGATCCCATCCATCCTCGCCTCTCCCAAAGAGAACCTCCAGTTTTGTCTCCTGTCTGTCCCTCGTGGAAACTGCCTCTAAACTGCACAACATGGCTGCTCCTCCTCCTGTCTTCTACACCTGAAACCCTTTCACCACACATCACAACTGACACCTCCACCCATTCCAACCTGCTTCACACACTTCTTCACCTCTTTTCCACTCCCTCTGTAGCTTTGGACAGTAGATCCTTAGTCCTCTACCTTCTTTACTTCTATTTCCTGTAACATCACCAGTTCACTTGTGTCATTTACACACACACACACACACACACACACACACACACACACACACACACACACACACACACACACACACACACACACACACACACACACACACACACACACACACACACACACACACATTCTGTCTTGCTGTGACTAATCTTCATTCCTCTCTCTTCAGTACATATCTCCACCTCTCTAACTTCTCCACCTGCACCCTGCTCTCACTGCAGGTCACTCATCTGCAAACATCATAGTCCATGGAAACTCCTGTCTGACATCATCAGTCTGTCCATCACTAAAGCAAACAAGAATGGGCTTAGAGCCGATCCATGATGCACACCTCACAGCTCTTACATGGTCTGCATCATTCTAACATTATACTCTGTCATTCCAGACCTCCTCATGCTCCACAGCTCCTCTCAGCACCCTGTCGTGCTTTCTCTAAATCTACAGACACAATGCACATCCTTCTGACCATCTCTACACTTCTCCATCAGCATCCTCAAAGCAAAAGTAGCACCTGTAGCACACTTGGTTGGCTTCAAACCATTTTACTGCTCACAAATGCTCACTTCTGACCCAACCCTAGCTTCCACCACTCATGAGCTCCGTTCTTGCGTAGTTCCCACGGTTCTGTAAGCCATCTCTGCTTCCATGTTTTCAGTCACATAAAGGGTGATTCATAAAAATGGCATCAGAAAATAAGCAAATAATTTTAGAGTTTGAGTGGTGAATTGTGCTACTTTTAGAACTTGTCTGAGGCGCCTTATAGGGTTCCTGGGGGCACTTTGGTGACCCCTGGTCTAAACGATGTGTTTTCTGTCACTGCTCCTCCAGCATTAGTCTCTGTCTCTCACACACTTTTTCCAACCGGAAACAAATCCAGAAGCAAATCCAACTGATCTGATATTTTAATTTTAGGATGAAATTTCTGCCATATTTCCTGTGCCGGTTCTACCCCTCTGGTCCCACGTGACAACCGGAGATGCTTATCAGACATTTTTATCAATCCACTCAGATAAATGTCTCTATGCAGCCAGAGGGCAGATCTGATGTTTCTCCCACTCCTGGTCGCTACCTCTGACTCATAACTTCAGTTTTTATTTTAATCTGGTTATAAAGCTAATAATCGGAGCTGCACTTCCCAGTGAAACAAATAGAGTTCTGCAACTGCTTTTCCTTTTTCCTGTCAACTTGAAATTTGTCAGGGTCATTCCTGTTAACCATCCAGTTAGGAAATAGGAATTTGGACCGTTATCCTGCCGCAGAGAGATGATCAAATCTTCTAAGGGAGTGTGCCTCCCCTCTCTCTACATGTAGCCATGTTTACAGGTGAAAATCTAAAAATTATAATATGGTGCAAGAGTTAATTTATGTCAATAATTCAACTTAAAAGGTGAAACTAATATGTGAGACAGATTTATTCCATGCAAATCCAAATGTTTCAAGCCTTTATTTGTAATGACCGTGATTATGGCTTACAGCTAATAAAAACCCCACATTCAAAATCTCAAGACAATTTGGAATATTGTGAAAAGGCTCAAAATTCTTGACTCAGTGTCACACTCTGATCAGCTAATGAATCCAGAACACCTGCAAAGGTTTGCTGAGCCTTTAGATGGTCTCTCAGTCTAAGCTGTGTTACTGAAATAAACTTGCACCATATTCTCATTTTTCTAGTTTCACCTGTAACTTGCAGCAGAGATTCTGATAAAAATTAACTGCAGTTTGGCTTTTTCAAAGATCAATTGTGCATTTATTTGTTTAATTTTGTTATTTTTAGTAGAAAAAGATGAAACAATACATAAATAACAAAAGAAACCAAAAGGTGTAGGTTATACCTGTGGGTTTATGCTGAGATCCTTTTAGGGATCTAAAACACTGAAGACATTCACCATTATTTATCATTTTAACATGTTTCTGTTTCATACTTCTCCCTTCTGAAGTGGTTTAAGAGTTCATCACTTCCTGAGCAACCTTGGTTTGAAACTAGTTTATAGATGAGCTAGTCTGAGATCAGCTCAGATTAAAGTCCTGATGCGGTTCTAAAACAGCTTTTATATCCCAAATCTGTTTTTCATGTGATTTTATTCTATAAACCTTTGCTCTTCTGTCATATCTGATGTAACACTCCCCGTTGCATGAAACTGAATCAATAGCAGCAACAAAATGTGGCTCTTTTGCATCAGAGTCAAGGCCAGCAGCAGCCTCATCATTTCTGCTGAAATGTCATTCAGAATGGGCGGGGCTATATAGACTTACTGCTGTGACGTGTAGGGGACCGTAGCTGTTCTAAGATCATTATAGAGAATGTACCAGCAATGTAAAACTGTTAAGTCTCTGCTGATCAGAGTTGAAGTTTAGACTAGTCTGTCCCAAAAAGACCAGCAGGTGGTGGTGTTTCACCTCTTGACTCCTCAGTAGATCCTTTCTCTGAACTCTTAAAAGGAAAATATAAAAAAACAAACCCAAGAGTTTGGTTCTTGTAGCAGAAATTTTATTTTATTTGACAAAACGTATTTGACTTGTGATGCATTCTTTTGGGAATGGAAAACATTCCAGCTGCAACATTCATCTATAAATTTGTTTACAAGTCAAATAAACATACATTCCTTTGCAATAATCACTGATTATAACAATCAGTCTATGAAAAATTTGTGAACAGAATTTAGTCATTTGACTTTAGTTAAATGTTGTCTAACAGTGATTTACTCAAGGGCACTTCCAGGGCAGCAGTAGCTCAGGAGGTAGAGCGGGTTGCGGGTTCGATTTCTGACTTCCGCCAGAGAATGCTGCTGTTGTAGCAGGACACTTAACCCACCCGTCCTGCTGGTGGTTGTCGGAGGAACCGGTGATGCCTGTGCTCCGAAAGCCCCACCTCTGCCAGTGAGCCCCAGGATGTGATGTGTGTGTGTGTGAATGGATGAATGATACACTGTGTAAAGCACTTTGGAGTCCTTTGACTCTGAACGGCACTACACAAGTGCAGGTCATTTTATCACTTTCTCATAGTTCAGATTATCCAATCTGTTATTCACCAATTATAATCCACCTCAACGTGCTGTTTGCTAATGTGGAAAGAAAAACATCTGGACTCTAGTTGGAGGGTAATATTATGGGTATTTATTATTAAGCAATCTCTTCAACCAAGTCATAGTTATTGAATAGGCCTCAGATGTGAGAGGAATGCAGCTCTTAAAAACAAAAACAAAAATCCCTAATGAGATTTAATTTAAAACAAAAACACCATAGCCTTATATACAAGAGGAAGGGGTGGGCATGTGCAAGAGGTGCTGGGGTCTCAGGATGTGTACGATGATGATGAAGATGATAGATGGTGGGCTGGTTCAACAGGAGGGAATCTGATGGTGGGTGTAGAGGGGAGGCTGGAGGCTGGCTTTAGTACATGTAGCCTTTGGAGTAGGGCTGGGGGCCCATGTTTTGGGGAAGCTGTTCCGGGGTGTAAGGCACTCCCTCGTCCAGATGTGAAAGGGGCACCGTGTCCTCTTCGTTGACATAACGCTCAAACTCGGCCTTCAGGCTGGGTCGCTGATTGTCGGGGAAGGCCAGGGAGATAAGAGCCTCGGGCTCGCACACAAACTTGTAAACATAGCGCTCCCCTGCCACCTGAACACAGAGGAAACTCATCAATGATTCCATCAAATAAAAAATAAAAAAACATGTTTTTTTTTACACATATTTCAGAGTAGTCGCACGTTTCGCACCTTTTGCATAATTCCCTTCTCGTAGTAATAGCGCAGAGAGCGACTCAGCTTGTCATAGTTCATGGCTGGACGGTTCTTCTGCATGCCCCACAGTCTGGCAACCTAAGGAAAACAACATGTCAGAGGATCACTTGCATGCCAGCAGATTTTATGTCAAGTGATCCTGCCCAGGTGCATCCAGGTGTGTGTAATGCAGCTGTGTGACCACTAAGGGTCCTCAGAGGCAAACCAACATTGCCTCTGCAATCGCCTCGACTGTGTCAACCAGTCAGGACCAGAGCGAGTCTTCACATATGGATTTACTTCCTTTTTATGTTGCCCATTACCACTTGAATGTGACCAGAGTCCCACAGCGTTTGCAGAGGAAAGGGGGAGTGATGGCTGTCAGAGAACAACCATAAAACCTTCCTTCAGCCCTCAAATAAACTCAGCTGAGCTGATAAAAAGCTGCCAAGTCTGATAGAAAAGAACGTCTCACAACAGCCCTACACATCCAGAGGGAGTAAATCAAACCTTTTAGCAGCAGTGCATGTATTTTCTGTTGGAGGGTGGTGGTAGTGGTGGAAACTGTAAAGCAGTGGGGTGGGGGGTGCACAGCGATTCATGACAGGTCGTATCCCACAGCGACGGTGCAGCCAGCAGCACTGTTTCATCTCTGAGTGTGCTTTCAGCCCTAATTGCTCTTGTAAAACCCATTCATTTTTAATGTACAGTAAAGAGATAATGGAGAATACAATCTGGGCCTGTCCGGATTGGAACTCACCTATTCGGACACCGGCTGGTGTGACCTATTTACACTACAGACCACAACATTGGGAAAATGTCCCTAGTCAAAGAAACGCAAGCAGGTGAAAGAGAAACTGGGGTGTTGGGAGATTTTTGTTCGTCCTTCGTTTATCAATTCAGCGTTTCACATGTTGAATAATGAATGTGGAACAAATGGAAGGTGGGTCAAAGACGATGAGCAAAGCAGCCAAATGCCACTCCTAATCACCAGGATCTGATTAGCACCTTCAAATACAGCAGACACAATCAAAAAGCTTCTCATTCTTGACCCTTTACAAAAGAAATACCACGTTTTATTTCTTTATTTCCCCCTTTAAAAAAAAACAACAACATGGAATCATTATCTAAACCCTACCAGAGACACTTCATTTGGAGTGTCTCTGCACTTCAAGACATCTGCATAAGCTAGCAACGATACTCGAGTAAACCGCTTTATGTCGCATCTGGTGATGAGGAATAAGAAACTGATTCAGAATTCAGTCGTACCTCTTCAGGTTCAATGAGTTTGAACTCCATGCCACGGCCAGTCCAGGCGATGAAGTGGGCATTGCCTGGGTCGTCCAGAAGGGCCACCAGGAACTGCCAGAGCTGCAAGGAGCCTCGGCGCTGGTAAGGCGTGCTCTCGCGAAAAACACCACTTCCTTCCTGCTTGACCTCACCTGGACACAGTACAAGGCTTTTTAAAACACCTGCATTCTCCTTTTTGCACGTGGAGATGTGATCAGTACACTCAGATTGAAGATCACTTGTCACACACTGGTGTGTGTGAAATACGTTCTCCACATTTGACCCATCCCCTGGGGCAGCGGTGAGCTGCAGACACGGCCGCGCTCGGGAACCATTTGGTGGTTTAAGCCCCAATCCAACCCCTTAATGCTGAATGTCAAGCAGAACGGCATCTTTAGTGTGACCTGACTGTGGATTTGAACCCACGATCTCCCAGATAGAGGGCGGACACTCGTACCACTAGGCCACTGAGCTGGTATAATTTATATTAGAGATGTAAGTATGAGAAACTGTAACTACATGAGAAATAAATCTACTTAAATTGTTTGTTTTTATACAGAAAAGTAATGAGTCAAAACATTTCTTTCAGAAAAAAACATTAAAGTAAAAAAAATGCACATGAACAGATACAGAAATGGTAAAATCAAATTAGAGTGGATGAGAAAACATTTTTAGATTGAAATAAATGAGGTAAAATCAAGGACGCATCCTAATTAAAGAACAAAAACAACACTTAATGAAGCATTTAGTAGGTAAATGTACACTGATTGTTTTCTGGTTCTTTGTTGTTTACCCGTTACCGGATATGTTACGCCCATACATGTGGGAACACGAGAAGAGCAGCAGAGTTACTGCCGTTGTCTTTTTAGAACGTGCACACTTCACTGGATCAACCAGAGGCGACACCTCAGGCTTTTCACTCAAGCAATGACACCATGGGAATCTGCTTGTCTCTGTGACAGAGGAGCCCCACACAGCACGCACGATGGAACCTAATCCACGAGCTTCTGACTTGTTTACATCCCAGGATCTCAGGTTATATAAGCTGACATTCAGGTGTAGAGATTGAAGTAGCTTTGACAGGGGTTATCCTAAACTAACTGTTGTAAGTCGCTTTGGACAAAAGCGTCTGCTAAATACATAAACATAAACTGTTGGGATTGTGGTGTGTAGATGTGTGTGAACACAGATGCAACGGGGTTCAGGGTGTTCAGGCTCACCTTCAAACTTCTCTGGAACAACGCGGGAGTCGTTTTCAAACAGATAGCCTGAGAGACAAGAGGGGAGATGTGTTATCAAGCAGCCTGGACCCAAGCACAACTCGACTGTTCATATGGGATCAGGGCCAACCTTTGAATATCATTCAACAAAAATACAACGGACAACTCCAGAAAAGGGGAGTGGATTTCATTGTTAAAACATGTGAAAGCGTGAGAGCATTTTTGAGCTGTTTGATATACTCAATTTGACTGAATAACAGCAGAAATGACCAAAAATGGTCCCACAAACAAAGGGAGCGAAGGGAGGGGTTGTTTTCCTTTTTGCCGGGGAACTATCCAGCTTTTTCCAGGAGTTATGTTTATTCAGGGATTCATGAGGCAGGGGTGAGCTTTGAGGGTCTGCCAATGGAAACATGGACACACCACTGGCTAGCCAATGGAAACATGGACACTCTACGCTGGTTAGCCAATGACTGCAAAGCTATAATGAGTGAAGGCTCAAAGTAGATAAAGCTTTATAGATGGAAGAGATTGGCTGCATGCAACTAACATACATTAAGGCTCAGTAAAAACAGGGTTAATTAAAACTAAGCTGTCTGTACCATACCTGCAGTAGACCACAGAGGGAATTCATTAAGGAAACTTGGAGACAAATTCTCAGCAAACCGTTAATGAAAGCAAGTTTGACCCAACAAACGTTTAACTTGAAATTAAGTGTTTCTACGCTTCATTACTTTTGGAAGAGATCTCTGTTAACATTTTTGCTGTTCTGTTATATGAATGTTAATTTTGTTAACTGGCCGCTAAAATATTGTATTGCTAATCTTCTGAGTCCACCTGGACAGTTTTTCCTCTTGTGACAGATTTATTTTTTCATCCTTAGCATGTTTTTTATGCAAAGTAACAATATTAAAATTAAAAAGATTAATTAAAACACCTGTCCAATGAAAATGAAATGGGCTGTTTTCGCGGGCTGACACTCTTGTATTGATTAAGGTAGGTGTTAGCTGGAATAACCCCCTGAAAATTCCTGGTCACATGAAAGTAATGTGTTCTGTCCCATGGACGGGACGTTGGAATGCTAAAGGATGTCCAAACTAAAGCCTGTTTAACACACAGTGCATAATGGATGTGGTCCGAACACCATACAGCTTCAGCATAGACCAAAAATCATCGAGTCCAAGGCTGCGTTGCAGTGCAGAGCTCATGTGGACTCTATTTTTTCCAGGTGCCGCATGCGGATTGTTATGAAGTTAAAGAAATTACACGAGGCAGACATGGAGGTGAGACCTGCTTCAGCGATGGGCATCTGGTATATTTTAAAAATAAAACCTGTGTTTTATAGTTTCTCCCAGCTTTAGTTTAGTTATTAATGACCGGTACATCAGTTCACCATGTATGAAAGTTCGAGAAGACGACGATTGTGTTTTTGTCTAAAAGCTCCTCTCCGTTTACGTAGCCATTATCACGTGAACTCGTGAGCAAAGTTCAGGACAGGTTCAGCACATGAACCGTAGTCGATGTGAATGGCAGTTCATCTGGACGTCGTATGGAAACCGGACCACCTTTGTTTTGCATTTGGGGTGAACGAGGCTTCAGATTTCTCCAGCTTTAGTCTATGGCAACAAAAATGCTGACTGGTGACTAACAATGAGGAAAAATGTAACAAACAACCAAAATGAAAAGATCTTTGCAATAAAATAAACCAGAAAATGCAAATAGCTACCTTCATTGCTGTGTTGTGGGTTTGGGAAGCCCTCGTTGTGGTGGTACATTGAGGGACAACCAGGCACATCTGAAACAGAAATCCACGCAGCAACAGTAAATTACTCAGTTACAGATTCACCAAACTGGGACCTTTTTAAAACCACAAAGGAAAAGTTAGTTTAACTGCATAAGTACAAAAATACCTTGTTACCACTAGATGTTCAAAGAGCAAGATGCATTTGAGACAGTAGGTATATTCTGTAGATTACAACAGGATGGGGAGGACAAATAAAGCATCCATCACATCAGCCCCTGTACTGATCTGCTGCTACTCTAAGACTGTTGACGAGCACCTCCACCAGGCCAGAACAGCGGTATAGTAGAACGGCTCCTGTCTGGGCACATCACAGACTCATTTGCATAGCTTTATTCACCAAAATAGATTTCATTTTCCTCCAATTAAACCATTCAAGCAAACTTCTCCGCAAATGCCAACCGTTTTAAAGTCATTTTAACACATAATGCGTTCTCTGAAAACCATTGTACTCCATTGAAGATACTGTGTTCAGTATCTTCTTCTGGCTCTCAGGAGGGTGCAGACGCTTTTTTCCTCCTCCCCTCCATATCTTATCATCAAGGCCCTTTGTCTGTCTCTGTGTGCTGGTGCACGGCTGCTTCTGGATTTTTTCTGGAAACTGGAAACTGAAATCACTAAAATGGACCTCGTCAGTTGGTCACTCAACGCGATTGATAAAATTTTTTCAACGATGAGAATGGGAGAAGGGGCTTCTGGATGCCCCTCCGGGACAGACCCAGTTGGACACATCATGGACTCCTGTAAACAGTGGAACTTGATTTGTTTATCTCAGCTGTCTGTGGAGGACTCTGAAGATGTGTGGATATTTGTGGTGTTGGTGTCAGGTTTCCTGGTCATTGGCCTTGGAGGCTTCCTGGTTTACAGGAAAATTAACGAGTTGTCGAGGAATACTGACCTGCTCCCGGAGCTCAGAGATGGTTTGCACCGTGCTGTGAATTCAGACTCACATAATTGTCTAGATGAATCGTTAGCTTGGAACTTTGGCCGAGATTCATTCATTGGCACAAAACATGGATGCCAACAAGGATAGAGTGGACGAATCAGCACGGATTGGGATAGATTAATGTCCATTATTGGGATTTTGAGAGGTTTAGGACCAAGGAACTTTAAGACAGAGAGGAAATGATCTCTGTCTGGCCCCAAAACATTTTCTAATCGTAATCTGGTGCCCTTGAGCCTGCAAGGCTCGAACGAAAACTCCCCCTCAGAAGATATGTGGAATGTGCCGTCGCAATGGCAACTCAACTGTCTCCTATCCCAGCCTGGGCGGGACTGCGGGAAGGCCGCCAAATCGTTCCAGGGTCACTGCACCCCTCCAACCCTCAATGCTCCTCCCCCTGTTCAGACTGAGGTGACATGCACTGCTTACTGTGGCTGCAGGAACCGAAGCGTGGATAGTCCCAAACCCACCACCCCACCTAGTGGACACTTATGTTGTGTGTTGTCTGAAGTCTGTTGCATATCTGTCTGAGGATTTTTTTTTCTTGCAGAGCAAAGCTGCCCTCCCAGTGGAGAGTAACTCTGAAGTGCCTTTTTTCCCTCCACCTGAACCAACCCTAATGTAACCCTCTGATCTCTATTAAGGTAGTGCGATTCAGGGTTGTGAATGACCACAGTCACCAATTCTTGTCATGTGTCTTGCCCATGTATGTCTGATCTCTGAATTGTGTGTACTGAAACTAATTTCTCTCTGGGATTAATAAAGTATCTTTAAATTGAATTGAATTGAATTGAATTGTGCTTCATTTCCTCTGGCTGAGCTGCTCACCTTGGTCTGTGTACTTTTCATTTTCTTTACCTGTCTGTTCACACACAAAAGAGGTGAGTCACTGACTATTCTACGAGTGAGTGCACGTTCTTGTTTCGTCGGCCATTTGTCAACTGCATCAATGAGAAAAGTAAGTAGATAAGAACCAAAATGGGCAGCCCTTTGCCTGTGGCTCTTTCAGTGACTCACTCCTGGGGAATGCAGGCCAAGCACTGTGGTTTTGATAAGATGCCACAGGGGAAAATCAAACCCTCCATTCCAGGGAAGCAGCACTCGATCGTACTGTAAATAATATGTCTGCCAGCGAAGGTGAGGTCTCACTAGGGAGACATGGATAGATTCGGTGTGAGAGCACCAGGGTTAATTGTGCACTCCATGACACGGCCACTTTCTGTCTTTTATGCGACACAATAGCAGTGATTAGGCACTGGACTGCTAATTTGTGTGTGAAACTGAGTTTCAGTCCCTACGCAAAAGGACAAAGTACTGCCAGCATTTGACAGTATTCATATTTCATTTACTAAAAAAAAGCTCCATTTGTTTGTCGCATTATCAATTTTCCATTACTTTTTGTCATTAACATAAAATTTAAATGAGCAAAATTGATCTGGATGGCATCAGAAATAATACCATAAGTCAATATTGAAGTGCATTTATTCAATTATCCAAAGAAAAACCACATCGGCAGATCAAGATTGGTTTTTGCTTTTTTCCTCACTCTGTTCCATCTCTCACTGAAAAGTATTAAAAGCAGCAAAACCATTTCCTCACACGTCAGACAGTAAACTCAGACTTACAGCAATAAATCTGTCAAATCTACACTCAACCAAAACACAACAGATCAAAGGACTTGAATTCCTTAAAGGAAATCATGTCAGTCTTAAAAGCGTTCAGTTTTCAGCCAAGTTGTTTTATTATTCCTGGTTTTAACCAGTTAAAAATGGTTTTGGCTGAGAAATTATGGAGTTCTTGCTCTTTGGTGAAATCTTGAGAATATTATTAAGCAGAATCTTGTAATCTGCTAGCTGTTTCGGTTTGTTAAAGTTGGGGTGTGAGATGTTGTTCTGGAGCATTTTGTGCCTCGTTTGAAATGCTCTTCACATGTCAACCAGTAAGTTAAATGCTTCATCAAAAACAATATTTCAATCGCCTATGAAAGGTACAATTCTGTAAAAACCTTATCCACTAACTGTGCACGTTCCTTTCTTAATGATCATAATCTGTCCATCAAACCGCTCCTCCGACTGTCCCTCCACAAAGGGGTCTATGTGTATGAATCACTCATTGTTGACCTGGAGCAGTTAAACAAGAAGCAAAGCCTGAGCCAAGCTGCCTAGTGTAACAGATGGAAAGCTCTGTTGTATTTGCAAATTTCATTAAAAGAGTTGTTTTACATGTTCTACTTAGAGTATGTTCTTGTTGGCAAACATTTAGGTGACAAAGTTAAAGTTGCTATAGCAAATCTGCCAACAAGCTAGGTGCTCAACGCAAACACCGTCACGGAACACTAACCCCACCCCAAGGGTATAATCCCTGGTCCCACGTCTACCGTGTCCGTGGCTTCAAATTGTGTTTTTCTTTTTGGGACTCTGGTCCTAAAGTTGAAGTGGTAGCAGTCGGCTGCTTCTCCTTCTCTTGATACTGAGCGGAGAACCACTCAGACCAGTGGTGTTCTGTTGGGTTGCTACATACACAAGTGTGTGATGAATGGAGGACCCAGGCAAGTGCAGAAGTGTGGCGACTCAGCGAGACCGACAACTGAATGGTTCAATAGTTGCTTTTGGTCCAAAATGGGGTTTTGGAGGAGATTTTTGGACAAATGCAAGAGAACCACTTTGTTTATTTAATTTTTAAAATCTCCAGAATATATTTATAGCTATACTATGTTAGAATGCAGAAGCATGAAAAAAATCTTTTCAGCTTTTGAAAAAATTTGCTAAAGCAGCATCTGTGTGTATGTGCGTGCGTGCGTGTGTGTGTGTGTGTGGTTTTCCCAGATTGTTGGTGACACTGAGTTGCTGTTATTTTTAATAAACCAAGAAAGCTAAAAACAGCTTCAATTTTCACCATAAAGACACCTCGCTGTATTAGCTAGCATATCAAGTTGTTATACGATGAATACACCTACGAAGGTGACAACAACATGTTGAAAACGTAAAACTGCACCCTCTGGAACGAGCGTTGTGCGTTTCTTGACTCTGGAGACACAGCTGTGGGGATGGGTCACCTGAAGTAAGGGTGTTGAACTGTTTTGTACATTTAAAAACTAAATTTCTTGAATAGCAAGGACAACATCTTCTGTTCCACCTCTAAAAGTGACAAAAGTTGTTTATTTACAGGCAAAAACATTAGCTCTCACCTTTTGCCTTTAGGAGGCAAAAAACCCCAACAACTTAAACATAGATTTTTGTACCATAACTGTAGCCAAAACGAAATGTCTACTGATCACTACGGTCTAAAAGTACATCCGTTTAGAGCAGCTTTGAATAAAATTGTGTTAAAACGGACACATTAAAGATGAAATGGCAGCTGAAACGATTCAAAGTTGGACACATTAAGGAACTTTTTAAAAAGCGAAACCAGCTTTTAAACCAGAAGTCTGTAGATCTAACACTGAATCCTGCATCGTATCAGATACACTCCAAAAGGGTCACATCCTCTTGGACGCACCCCCCCCCCCCTCCTTTTGAAGATTGTGTGATTTGCTGTCAGCGTTGTTATAATAACACTGGGTGAAACGAAACGGCTTTAAATTTGCATGGAACATCCTGGTTTCATCAGAGGAGGGCTTGTTTTGCATCCATCCTCTGATGTCCAGGTCCCAGCCGAAGGAGCATCTTTAATGTCGGTGAATGAGGGCAGAACGTGCGCAGTGTTGGATTTCTCCAAAAGAAGCAAGAAGAGGAGCTGGTTTCTTTGCTCTCTGCTTGTAAAGCTTGTTGTTGAAGTGCCTGAGCTGGCTACCCCACCCGTTACACCCCCCAGCACCCCCTCCTACAGCCTAGCCAGTGAGAGGCTCGAGTTACCGTGGCCACACTCATTTTTCCATTATGAGTTCATCTGCCTGCAGAAAAAGGAAGCCGCTGGTGCAACCTGAAACCCCGCCGCACTCCACCAGGGACTCTAGTCTTTCCAGTGCCCTCCATTTTCTCAATGAAATTCCTCTGCCTGTCTCTCACAGAGAGCGAGGGAGGAGTATAACTGTAAAAAAAAAGTTTTTTTCTTTTTGCTGCAAAGTGTCAGGGAGTTGAAAGGAGGGGTTTTAGGCAGCCAGTGCAGCGAATAAGTTTGTGTGCCTTTTGGACATTTTGTTCTGCTGTTACCCTCGCTCACTACAACGACCTTCTTTAAAGGAACAGTTTCATAGAAACACTTCTTGTTCTTTGTGTCTGGTTTGATGGTGTAGAGATGAGCAGTTGTAGTCCACTACGTCTTTTCACACAAAATCCTAAAGTAGTTTTTACTACCTGTTGAACAGAAGCACTTTCTTGGCATCAGAATGTCTTTAAATGTCACTGACATCATATGTGAAATCCATGGCCCATTTCAAACGGGATCAGAAAATAACTTATTGGCGCATGGAAAGCAAAGTTTCCCACAACGCATTGTATCGCAAACCATTACACTCCGAACGTCAGAAGCTAATACCTGCAATGTTTTCTATTAGAAATATAAAACAAAATAAAGGTGTCCGTTATTGTAAATAAATGTATGTAAACTGTAAATTTTGCAGTGAGTGTTTGAGTTTTACTCTTCACGATCCCTAAAAATGCTAATTAGCTAGCTCACTATCAAAATAAAAGCAGCGTAGGTTTGTTCTGATGAAAAATAAACTGTTTATATTCATTACAGAGCGAGAAATGCTGGTATTTTAATAGTTTTGATCAAAAGTGAGCCAAATATAATACAAATAATATGTTTTTGTTGTTATTTTGTTATTTAAGGAACAAACTGCACTTTTATTTTAATGTCGGGTTGTATTTTTAACTGTAGCAAGAAGCAGCGATTGTTGCTAGGACACAATGAAGTACAGTTCTGTTCCAAATGCCGTCCTCATCCTCCCGTACTCGGTAGAACAGACTTTCAGGTATCCTTGCCAAGAACAAACTTGTCTAGTACACAAGAACGTCCTAGTGTCCTTGAGTATTGAGAAACGGCCAAGATGTGTTCTGCTGTTTCCTGGACCCTAAACCAACAACATCCTTCCCCATTTTGAGTCAAGATGGATGAGCCCATGAAAGCTAATTTTCAGTGTGGTGTAGATCTGTCTCGCTTTTCTAATCTGATGGTTTTCTCGTCTATTTTCTATTGGCGGCTAGGAAGTAGTGGTAGACTATTTTCCCATTCAGCCTGCATGTTGAACTCAGGGTGACTGATCATATTTAAAAAATAATTTAAATGGTCTCCTCAGTGAACTTTAATCGTTTAGAAAAATAGTCTCCTTATGAAGTGGTTTAATGGTGTTTTTTAAAGATAATGTTGCAGGAGGTAAGTGTGCTCTCATTCTGTTACAGCAGTCAGTTGGTCTCACTCACCAGGTTCATAGGTGTAGTCTGTGGGCTCCTGTTTGACCATCATGTGGGCTGGTGGGAACCGGTGTGGATGTGAGTGTGGATGCGGGTGAGGGTGGGGTTGAGGTCCATGACCATGTCCATGCCCCGGACCCCCCATACGAGCTGCCCGCTCATACAGCGGGTCCAGGTATTCCTGCTTAAAGCTCTGCTGCAGGTAGGGCATGCAGGGGTCAGAGTGCTGCCGATGAAAACCCCCACACCCACCTTCACCTCCACCCCCTGGACCTCCACCTCCCCCTCCTCCAGCTCCGTTACCCTCACGGCTGCTGCCATGTCCGGCTGGAGCAGAAGGCATCCTCTGGAAGGTCTGCCCTGCTGGAGGGAACTGGGGACACATGGGATCCGCTGCAGGGCCCTGAAACCTGGAACTGAAAGATCAAATGAAAATTCTTCATTTAGGACAGATGATTTAAAACTATTAGCGTTTTCTAGTTTAATGTGTAGACGCCATATATTTTGTGTTTGCTGCATCACCTGGTGTTGATATGGTAACTGTTGCTGGGGAAGGGTTGGGAGGTGGCAGCTGGGTTCAGGTAGCCGGCGTCTGGCCGTCCAGCTGCTGCAGGGTTTGGGGAGTAATGCTGCTGCATAGGAGACATGGGGGGCCCTGGGCAGGAGCTCTTTGCTCCTCCTGCAGCCCTCTTTTGCTCATAGGCACTGTAAGAAAAACAACATCAAAACACACTTACTGGTTACAACTGAGCTAACAGGAATCCTATTATAGCTTCTGACCATTGATAGTTTAATGCATAGAAACAATGAATCTTCCTTTGTCTTGTGCTGAGAGTTCTGTCTAAAAAAATATTTCCAGAGAAAAAAAAAAGCCCTTAAATTACATATTTGCCTGACTCATTCCTGAAAACTGTTGACTATGTTTTGTCTGGAAAAGGTTATTCTGGAAGAAGGAAACTGTTTACATGGAATCTGGTTAAATGGGAGCAGAATTGTTTGTTTGTTTCCGAGGATTAAAGGTGCAATTTGTAAGAATGACATCATGTGGTCAAAAGTGGCTACTACAGTACATTATTTCAAGCAAAAACATTACTCTCTCTCACTCCCCTTTCGTGAGTTTCATGGCTGTTGTCAGTTACAGAGTAGGAATGGGTGATATGGCCTAAAAACAATATCACGCTATATTGAGGATTTCACCTCGATAACAATAAATGGACGATAACTACAGGTATGCACAGAAACAAAAGTTTTCCACTAGATGGGGCTGTCACATTTTTACATGACTCAAGGTGGTACAGCTTCTTAAACAGACATGAATGTTGCCAACCTACATACATCTTTTCATTTTTCATTATCACATTTTTTGACAAGGGAACATTTATCTCAATAAGAGTCAGAAATTTCAATAACGATACATTTTTGATTTATTGCCCAGCCCTAGTTACAGATTAGTGCCAGACGAATCTAGAGAACATGTGAAGATGAGTCAACAGGAAGTTGGTAAGTAGATAATAAATATAGTCATATCTGATGTTAGAATTCTTAGGCGTTTTCCTGTAGGGAGCACTTACTACACTTATTATGGTAATTTGTCTCCAGCATTACAGGAAGTGTGGTAATTTACCGTTTTACTATTAGCTTGCTTTTCTGAATGACTCAATAAAGGAAGTAAAACGCACCAATAGACTCATTATTCCCTTCACGCATACATTTCACTGTAATATTGATTTGTTGGGAATTGAATAAGTAGCTTGAGATATTTTTTGACACAACATTTGCTTCAAATCCACCATTAGCATTGTAAGCTCAACGTTAGCTGATATTAGAGTATACCGTGTGGCTTCTTAGGGGTTCAAGAAATAACTTCTGGGTCACTCCTGTTTACTGGCTTTGGTTCTTTAAACCACTCTGGAGCTTTTTGCTTGTTGGTGTTGAAATACAAATGCTTGCTGAAGATTCGGCAACCTCACAAACTCTTAAGAGTGTAAAAAAAAAGTTTATTTTTCTTCAAAAGGATAAAAACAGACAATCCCACAGCCAGCTAAGAATAAAATCTGTTTCAGTATACCCTTCCTTCCAACATGATATTAGACTGTTTTGTGATTATTTCACTGTAGAATTTTTATGAATCGCACCTTTAATGACCAAAAATGAGGGGGTACCTGGCATAAAGGCACTGCTCTCCACTGGGGTAGTTGAAGTTTTGTTTGTGGCTACAGGACTGGCTGGGGTCAGATCCTGGACTCTGTGGTTCCTTCTTGATAGTGACTGGAGGACTATGAAACGCCACTGCTGCAGGAGACAACAAACAGAAAGCAGACGTGAGCAAGATTCCTTTGTGATTCAGCCCTGCCCTGATACTACCGTCAGCCCGAGTCAAAACTAAATCTCCTGTCTGTGCAGGAATGTGTCTTTTGTGCCAACCCAAAATGCTTAAGCTACTTTCAGCAGCAGCACAATGCAGCAGACAGCCACGTCTAAGACACAGTTGCATAAACACAGACACAAAAACACACATGCTTTCATTGCACACAACTGCATTCCAGCAGTCATTTGAAAGTCCAAAGCCTCCTTCCCACACTTTTCTTGGCTCTTCCAGACACAACAGCAGCTAAAATGTTACACCTTTGTAGTGTACGTTACACCTTCTTCAGAAGAGCATACGGGGCTTTGCATCACTTCAGCGTTAACCAAGGAAATCTAAGGATGCCACAAACATTTTAAGTATCTAATGTTGACCCAAAGGAGTCCACTTAATCTGTAACATATTGAAGTGTCCATCAAGCTGGACTGCTGGAGGGGACCTTTGCCTTGATGGCCACAGAAACCACCCAAAGTGGAGCTTCAAACTGTGCAGAGGGCTCGTGTTTATTATGCGAGGGGAGGTTTTCACCCAGAGAACTGTACAGGATGTTTTTCTGGTCCCGACAGGGTAAACAGCAGCAGCTGTGCACTTCCAGCTGGGGAGGCATGCCTTCATGTGAGCGTGCACGTTGTGTTAGCGTCATGAAATGTTAGCTTGTCTGTCTTTGCTTGATTGTGTGTGTGTGTGTGTGTGTGTGTGTGTGTGTGTGTGTGTGTGTGTGTGTGTGTGTGTGTGTGTGTGTGTGTGTGTGTGTGTGTGTGTGTGTGTGTGTGTGTGTGTGTGTGTGTGTGTGTGCAGTGGGTGTGGCGCTAACAGAACAGGCCACACTGAAAGCACAGCCCAGGTAATTACATAGCAGAGTCGTCCATTCACAAAAAGACGAGGAAAAAAACGTCTGGCTCGCTGAACAAAACACAAAATGGCTGAGAGGTAGAACGTGAGCAAAGAAAACTCCCTGACATTCACAACATTTTCTTGTTTTTGTTGCCAGAATTACAAAAACGCAAACGCTTGCCAAGAATTCTACTCCATTTTGCTAAGGAAAACTTTTAACATTTGATTTAGACTTTCCCATTTCACTTGGACCTGTTTAACATCAAAACTATAAACACATTAAAGTGACGAGAGAGTCATGCAGCTTCCTGCTTTTGGTGTGTATTCACTCTCCCACGGCAGGCAGGCAGGTGAGGAAGTGTTGGATTTATCCTGGGATCAACAGGATTAGAGAGCATTTACCCAGATTTCCCAGACAGACGTGGTGGGGATTCCGGCCTCCTCCGAGTCGCCGACAGACCGTCTGCTGGTGCACACGGAGGGTGGCACATGACCACCACTCTAATAATACAACCGTGTTTGTCTGTTGACGTTCATCCTGTTCTCAGGCTTGGTCATGAACTACAAACAATCCTCATAGAGCATGACGAGCCACTGCTGGTGGGGTTGGCATGAATGAGGCTTTTGATGTGGCGATTCGTGAGGATGTTCTGATGTCACTAGATTTTCTGAGGGGTTTGTTGATGCATGCAGTCAGTTTGCGCATGCGTGTTTGTTAGCAAAAATATCTCAAGAACCACCAGATGGATTTTATTGAGGGCCTTTCAATTTATTTGCGTATTTTGCTCAAAACATTGTAATTAATTAGCTCCACTTTCACGTGATTTCTGCTTTTGTAACATTTTATTAATTGTTTTAATCATCTGTTAGGACAGTATAAATGACGCCATGTAAACCTTTCTGTGGAACAAAGTTTCGTGCTCCTGTTTCGGGAAGTAGACGTTGGTTGGAGAAGTGGAAGGTAGAAAACGGCAGGATTTAACGCATTCATATTCATGATATTTAAATGTATAGAATGTTTGGCTAAAAGCAACATGACTTTACCACTGCTGTCATTTGTCTTTGTTCTTGGGTAAAAAAAATATAACAACGTTTTATCTGCATAAACAACAAGCCTGGAGGAAAGAAAGAAAAAAGAAAACAAACATTTATATAGCGCCTCTCAAGATAAAAAATCACGAGGCGCTTCACAAAACCAAAAAATTAAATATAAAAAAGATTTTAAAAATGATTAAGAACACATTTAAAATGAGAAAAGAATAAGTAAATAGTGATTAAGAAATGTAAGGAAAGGGAGAGAGAAAATGAATAAGAAAAAAGGAAATCAGTGAATCCTGGGAAAGGCAGAATAGGTAGAAGAGCAGCATAAGGAGAGGGTGGTGATGAAGGTCACACCAGAGCCAGCCTGAACAGGTGAGTTTCAGCTAAAGGAGAAAAGCTGCTTTTTAAAGGAGACAAAGAGTTCTGCCGTGTGGTTGTGCTGCTAACGCTAACGGTTAGCTTCTACTAGCTGACTTGTGCTCTGTTCTCTCCGGGCTGCTAAATCATTATCAGTCTTCCGCACTTGCACCCACGGTGGGTGAGTCCATAAATCCAAATATCTCTCTGTGACGTAGAAGGAAATGTTTTTTCTGATCCAACCGCGGGTCTGTGGCTGAAAGGGAGAAGGGGAATGAAGAAAATGTTTAACCTGCATGTGAAACTCAGGGTGACTGCTTGTGTTTAAAAAGAACAAAATATGTTTCTCAGTTAACTTCCTCTTACAAATGATAAATTAGAATAAGTGAATCCACAGGGAAGTTTAAACATTCATTAATGTTCCACTTCTTTCAGCTAAAGTTCATGAAATTCAGCTGCAGTGTTTTTTTATTTTCTTAAGCTTGGTTTATGCTTCTGCGTTGGTACGGAGACACGCAACGCCATTATCCGTCTTTGCGAGCCTGTTGGAGAGCCCTCGCAAGGACAGACAGAGTCGAGCCCTCTTTTCTGAACATCCGTTGAAAGAGACGGAGAATGCAAGCTTGTGATTGGTCAGGATGCCGCTTTTGTCAACAGCACCGCCATTGCGCCCTCAAAAACAAAGATATCTCGTGGCAGAGCAGATTGAAGAATACCTAGCGAAGAAACTCAAAAAAATATGACCGTTTATTCACCCGTGACTGGAGAAGTAAAAAGATTGGCAGCAAGCATTTTATTCATGGATGGAAATGACGGGAAACGTGGGTTTAGAGGTGGTGGGCACATGAAGAGGTGGAGGAGAATGAGGGACAAATTTGCCCATGTTAAAAAGTCTCTGAAATACAAAAACACAAAAGAAACACAAGTAAATGCACTATTCTGGACCGGATATATGACAGGATACCCCAGAACAGTGCTACACCCTCTGCTGCCCTGGCGGGGAATTGCTTTGCAACACTCCCCAGATGACGAAGAAGTCTGAAGGCAACGCACTTCCATCAATCCGTGCGTGTACCACGTGTAGCATAAACCAAGCTTTATTCTCAGCGGGTTTCCGATAAGTGCAGGGTTGTTGGTTCATTTCTTGACTCCTACTGTCTAAATGCACTTGAGCAACAGATTTAATTGTTTTAAATGGCAGCTTCCAGCTCCAGTGGTGTGTGCATGAAAAGCACAGCTTGAAGATCCTAGATAAAAACCTTAGTTCAGCTTATTCGTTCATGCATTCATCCCTGTCTAAATTCACCACCCTCCTCATATGAGATGAGACATTCAGCTAAGCTTGTTGAGTTTTATGCAGTCATTTGAGATTAGAGACAATTTGAGCTGCTGCTGATGCCAGATTAACACAATCATCCAAATTAACCATATTCTGGAGATATCTGCAGCAAGCTTCATTGCACCAGCTCAGATTTGAGTTTGGATTTTGGACTTTTAAAACCATGTCCTTAAATTTATACAATCGTGCATTTAGGTCTAAAATAGTTCCTCCAATAAAACAAACTCTGGTTCTCACCAACTCTTATAAACTGTGTTGCATGTTACGGTAAATCTTCCTGTCCAAATGATGTCAGATTTGCTGCTGTGGTTTATAAGCTGCTGGCAGTCCTGTAAACAGATCTGAGCAGAGTTACACTGTTCAGGTTTCCTTCTCTTCCTGCTTTTATTTTGGGGCAAAATTACCTCCATTAACCAGTTTTTTTTAATATTTCATCACCCTTTGAAAGAGATCCTCATATTTCAAGGTGAAGTGTTGCCTTGTGAGTTTATAAATGGAGCAAAAGTCACTGAAAGGTGTTTAAAAGTGAAAAGACGAATTCTAAACACAGCAGTTAATGTCCTGTTAAGCTGAATATTTCTGAGAAAATGTGACAGTTCAGATAGTTTTGCTGTGGGTTTCTATAGAATGATTATGAACACTTAATATATTAGCTTTTCCAACAACCTCAGTTAAGAAAAAGAAAACAAGCAGTTAGGCTAAAACCAAAGTGGATCACTGTTGTGAAACGACTAGTAAATCAAAAATATCCTTTGTTTCATTAAAAGGTGTGATTTACTAAAAACACCTTTTAGTTATCATTTCAGATCATAATGGGTCACTCTGAGATTTTCTTGCAGGCTGAACATGAAAAAAGTCTTCACCTGTCTCCTGAGTTAGCTTCTGATAGAAAATAGACGGGGAAACTCTAGGATATCAAAGGCCTGACAGATCTACGTCACACGGTAGCCATTTTTACAAAACAATGCCGTCAATTTGCCGCAACAGCCTTGGGTTGTTTATAAGTGGTCAGACCGTGGCGGTAATGTGGCGTAGTCGTGTCCTTTTTAAAAATGATTGCACAACAGCGACGTCTACATTTTTTAACAAGCCGCTCCTCAAGGTGTCGCCTGCAGTCCCCGTGCAGTCTCTGATGAGCTGACCTCTCGCTCTAAAGGAGAAAAGCTACCAGAGCTCTAGATCGCTTCAGTTTATTATTTCAGCTGCTTCCGTTTACAAAAGTGAAACTTATTGTCTGTTTTTACTTTCATCTTCCATATAGATGCCAGCCGGAGCTTGGCAGTAACTCCCCCGTCATCACCTCCCCTCACCGTTTATAGGTCAGACAATCACTGCAATATTACTACTACTACTAAA